CAGCCAGAACTTCAAGTTCATATGTGTTTAAACTTCCCATAAGTTCTCCTACACTCTTCTTTTCCCAGCCTGTGTGTTCCTGAATGGCAGTTACTTTCATTCGGAAGCGTTTAGGCAAAGATCGAAGGATCTTTTTGATAACTCTTTCATCATTAAACGGTTCACCAAGAATTGATGCTCTATTCATTAGATTATGAACCTGACTGTGAAAGATTGAGATAGTTTCCTCTTCGTTCATTCTAAGCGCTTCAAATTCTGACAGCACCATTTGCAGCTTTGACTGCTTGACATCACTAGTGCCCTCAAATCTGGTTTCAAGAATTTCCCATACCCGTTTTGCTTCTTTCACCCACGTGACTAGGGTAAAGACAGATTCATGTAGGGATCCTACAATAGAGTTCAACGCTTTGTTGTTCAGATCAGAGGCATTCATTTCATCGTCTGTCCAAGTCTCGATGGGCTTTTCCCCAGTAGTTCCATCAGCATTCTGAATAGTTGGGCGACTCCACCCAGATAGGACAGTGCGATAAACCCTGGTACCTTGTGCTTGGAGATATATCTCCATACGAGCCTTCCAGAAAGAGTAGTTGTGACCATCTAGTTCTGGAGGTTTCATACTCGCGTCCATCCTGAATAAAAAAACAACCAGCCAACGAACACACAGAGGCACTTCCAATAGAAAGAGAGTAATGCAAAAATAATTCCCGTATGGATCAAGTCACTATGTAGACTTAAAAGCTCTGATACCACATGTAATTTTGCATTTCCTCATTTTTAATCAAATTAACTGGATTAATCAACTGATGAAATGGACTGACTGATTCAACGATGAAGTCAGTCAGTAAGGCAGATCATTGCAAAGATAATAGAAAGAGATGACAATCACACAGCAACACACAAGATGTTTACCCAGTTCGATACAGTGTGTATCTATGTCTGGGGGACGATCACATATGCGTCCAATCCACTAAATCATAATCCAATGTACAAAGGTAGAGAAACAACAATCTCACCCAAGTGCCCCACACAAGGTACGTACCCAGTCTACACAGGTTTAGGGGATTGTTGAAGATGGAGAGCCATGCATACAGAAGTCCAATGAAATCCCTTCACTTGGAGAGCTCACTCTGATGCAATCCACTTCAGTAACGCTCTTCTCAGTTGTTCCCACAACTGTGTGATCGTAGTGTCCTTTTGTTTAAGCAACAATAATCCTTCTCATGTTCTTCATCATAATCACCATAAGCATGTTGTATTGAGAAGGGGCATGATAATCAAAGATCGGATCTCATAAATTCGTATGGAGTGTTTCTTCTCTCTTGAAAGCGTAACCCTAATTCTTGTCGAATAAGAGTACTTATAGTTCCATAATCAGAACACTCTCCATAGATATCTTTGATTGTAGATGGTAAGACAATATTTGAAGAATGTAATCTTAAAGATTCGGTCCATACCTTTCCAAGACATATATGCTGATCTTCTTTCCAAATATGTCTTCTTTAAACCGCGTTCAGCTTTTAAGGAAACAGCTTCCTAAAACAGATCTTCAGTGTCAGTCCCTCTGTTGTTGTATCTGATTGATCAGTCCTCTGTAGAACAAAACTGACACTAAGCTAATCCTATCTTAGTATGCCATAATAATATTGCCAATTATAAGTTGGGGGTTTTTCGAGCAATTAAAACACTAACACTTCTAAAGAAATTTGTAAGTTAATTTTTACTATATCTTTATAACAATATTAATTGTAACTATATATTTTGAATTATTTATTATCATCCTCTATTGACAAGAATTGTAAGAATTGTCATTGACAAACACTCAAAATAATTTGTCTCAACAACGAATGTAAATTAAAAAAAAAAAATCAATGATTTCATCATTGTTGATTAAAATTATGTACGCCACTTTATTACTCTAATTAAATTAAATAAATTAGTAGCTACAATAAAAAATAATACATATGCATTTAATTAATTTAGAATTAGATGTCTATAATGTCTTTATTTAAAAAAAAAATTATTCATTATAAAAAATTTAAAAGAGATATAATTTCATTAGTTATATTATCTTTATTTTCTACAATTCAAATATTCATTACCTTCAAATTTATTAATTTATTATATTCCCTACATAGTCCATTGTCGGGAGCTACTTACTTATGTGCCAATCCAGTATGAATTTTAAAATGTGTATATAACTCGTTACTGGGGACGGCTTAAATGTGCATTCTTTGTTAGGTAGAGTTCAAAGAATGTGATCCATTAAAATACACAAGCTATTTATAGGAATATTTATTTAATTTCTACTATATATATATATATATATATATATATATATATATATATACTAATAAGAGCCCAAGAGAGTTATAGACCTATAATGGGTAGAAAAAATGGCGGTCATAGATTTTAATCAAATGAATGGCTCAGATTAATTAAAAGATTGATCAGATTTAAATTTTATACTTAAATTTCCTAAAATACCCACACACCGTTACTAATTCCGTTAAAATTTTAAGAATTACCGTTAGTTCACCGTTAACTTACTCATTGATTTCAATAAAAAAATGTCTTAGGTTCGAACCTCATCCCAATCAAAGTTGGCATAATTAGTACTCTATTTTACTCTTATTAAATTATATAAATAATAATTTATTACTTACAACAAAAAATAATACATATGCATTTCTTTAATTTAGAATTATGTGTCCACAATGCCTTTATTCAAAAAAAAAAAAAATTATTCATTATCAATCAATTAAATAAGAGAAATAATTTTATTAGTTATATTGTCTTTATTTTTCTTCAATATAAAAATTCTTTATATTCAAATTTATTAATTAATTATATTCGCCTACATTATCCTTACAATGTCTTTATTCAGTGAAATTTTTTTTTATTAATTATCAATAAATTAATTAAAAGAAATATTTTCATTAGTTATATTGTCTTTATTTTTCTCAAATGTAAAAATTTTTACATTCAAATTCATCAATTGATTATATTCACTACATTATCTATTATTTTTTTTGTGCACTATTTTTCTAATTAAATATCAAAATTATAATACAAAATAATGCTATATATTTATTTACCAAGTATTTTATTAATATCATGAAAAAATTAAAAAAATATATAATTAATAAAGCCAACCATATTAACTACTTGAGAGATTTTGTGACAACGAGAGTATTCAAATCACACAACAAATTGAAGTGAGAACTACCTCGCAATGTCCTTGTTTGACAATCAGCAGTTAGCGGTTAGCGTTAGCGGATTATACTAGCGGATTTGACCAGCGAATTTATTTAATTATTAACATTGGGTAGAAAAAATGACCGCCAAATTTTGACCAGCGAATTTATTTAATTATTAACATTGGGTAGAAAAAATGACCGCCAAATTATTAAATCAAATGAATGGTTCATATTGTTCAGGTTTTAATTTTTTATTTTAAGATTTTCTAATTTATCCTTAATTATATGATTATCCATTTAACTTTTCCGTTAACGAGAGTATTCAAATCACACAACAAATTGAAGTGAGAACTACCTCGCAATGTCCTTGTTTGACAATCAGCAGTTAGCGGTTAGCGTTAGCAGATTATACTAGCGGATTTGACCAGCGAATTTATTTAATTATTAACATTGGGTATAAAAAATGACCGCCAAATTATTAAATCAAATGAATGGTTCATATTGTTCAGGTTTTAATTTTTTCTTTTTAAGATTTTCTAATTTATCCTTAATTATATGATTATCCATTTAACTTTTCCGTTAATTCACCGTTAGTCTAATTCTAATATTAAAGTCTAATATAGAATTATAACTACACCATTAATCTAATTCTAATATTAAAGTCTTAATAGAACTTAACCACAAATCCTAATGTCGGAATCTCCTCAAACAATATTAGTATATATTTAATATTCTATGTCCTAATTTTTATTTGTTCTCCCTTATGTCCCGTATTTGGTTTCAACCATACCTATACAATTATTTTATTGACAATTATAATCAATCTTGACTCTATTATCTTGCATTTGTAAACTTAGAATTACCTATTTAACCAGCACGAGCTTAGCTCAATGGTTTAGTGGGTAGTATTTGGGAGAAGAAACGAAGGTTTGAACCTCGGCGGCGACAGTGTGGGAATTATGTCTAAAGTGGGCAGATTCCTTGTTCGTATCAGCATTTGGCCCTGTCTACTGAACCATTGAGTCACCGTAATTTACAACTTCCCACAATGCTTTGTCGGGTCGGAGTGTGGGGGGCCCTTGGGGTTGGGGACTCAACCTTTGGGAGAAGAATTACCTATTTAAATACGCAAATTCAACCTTCAATTATCTATGCATGAACAATTTCAATATAATCCTGTCTTAATATACTTTAAAGTACTTATTTAAAAAAAAGTAGTGGGCATTATCCCAATCGCGCAATGCGCGTAAAAAACTAGTAAGTTATATAAGAGTGATCAAATTTTAATAATTATATTGATGATTATGAAATTAAAATGGTTGAATCATCTCATGTGCATTAATCCCATTGAATTCTTTTAGAATTAGAATTTTATTATTAAAGCGTTCTAAAACATAGTATAAAAAAAAATGTTAGGATGAGAATGTATGTAAAAGTATTGTATTCAATCATGATGTCTAAGAGTACAGAGAGCGAATATATTGATACTAGATATAGTCCTAGTCTAATATGAATAATATAGTCCTAATCTAATATGAATAATATAGTCCTAATACTCCCTCAAGCACAAGGTTGGGTAGCCAAAACATTGAGTTTGTCACGGAAAGAATTAAAACGCAGAGACGAAAGAGACTTTGTAAAGATATCCGCTAGATGATCTTTGGTTGAAATAAAGTGCACCTCTAACTCCTTTTTAGCTACTTTATCTCGAACAAAATGATAGTCAATCTCAATGTGCTTCGTGCGGGCATGACACACTGGATTGGCACATAAGTAAGTAGCTCCCAAATTATCACACCTTAGTCAAGGAGGAGACGCAGGAGGGATGCCGATTTCGTGTAACAGGGAAACAAGCCATGTAACTTCTGCAGATACATCAGCTAGTCCCTTGTATTCTGCTTCAGTTGAGGAACGTGCCACAGTCCGTTGCTTCCGACAAAGCCAAGATATAAGATTACTGTCCAAGAACACAGCAAAGCCACTAGTAGACTTGCGATTATTCGGATCGCCAGCACAATCTGAGTCAAAATAGGCGTGAATATCCATAGATGTAGACCGAGAAATACGCAGACCAAGATTCAGGGTGCCCTTGACATACCGCAGGACTCTTTTTAGAGACACCCAGTCCGTAGTAGTGGGAGCATACATGTGTTGACACAAGAGATTAACAGCATAAGATAAATCAGGACGAGTTACCGTAAGATACTGGAGAGCACCTGCAAGACTCCTATACTGTGTAGGATCGGCGTAGGGAACGTCAACTTCATCAGTGATTTTCGCAGAAGAGACGGACGTAACTACTGGCGTGCAGTCCACCATACCAACACGTTTGAGAATATCCTTCATGTACCGTTATTGTGATAAAAACATACCACTAGATAACGGGACAGTTTCAATACCCAAAAAGAAAGAAGGCACACCCATATCACGAACCTTAAACTTAAGGGCTAATTTATCAATAAGAGCAGTAACACGATCTGAGTCAGAACCCATAATCAAAATGTCATCAACATACACCAAGAAATAAAGACGAATATTGTCACGAGAATAGATAAAGAGAGACACATCCGTCTTTGAGGGCGAGAATCCCACAGAGACAAGAAAATCATGTAACCTTGTGAACCAAGCACGCGGAGCCTGTTTGAGCCCATATAGAGATTTTTTAAGCAAACACACATAATCAGTTAACGACTTGTCCTCATAACTAGGTGGTTGTCGCATGTAAACAGTCTCAGCTAGCTCGCCATTTAAAAAAGCGTTGTGAATATTCAACTGGCGAATAGTCCACCCACGAGATACGGCTAAAGATAAGAAAAGGTGTACCGTAGTGGGCTTAACCACAGAACTAAAGGTCTCAAAAAAGTCATCACCAGCAACCTGATTAAAACCCTTGGCCACCATACCAACCTAGCTTTGTGACGTTCTATTGAACCATCGGCCTTCCGTTTGGTTCTGAAAACCCACTTGCAACCAACAACATTCATACCTGGTTGAAACAGAACAAGACGTCACATATGATTATGGACCAAGACATTGAACTCCGCGTCCATCGCATCACGCCACTCAGGAAATTTGACCGCCTGAGAGTAACAATTAGGCTCAGGTGTTATGGTAGAAATAGTGGTTAAGGCAACATGTTGATGCAGACCCGAGCTACGAGTGTTCATAGCATGCGACCGAGGAGGAGTGGCTCGCCGAGGACGTCCGCGCGGCCTGCCGCGCTGCTCAACCTGCTGGTCCGAGATAGTCCGCTCACTCGATGCGGACTGCTCGGGACCATTATCGTCACCATCGCCAGAAGCCGACACAAGCTCATCCGACCGCCGAGCGCCATCAATAGTCGTGGCCGAGACACCACTACCTCGGCACGTCACAACCGGTGTAACAGCCCAAGGTTCGGAACATGGTCTAGCAACCTGCGAGGCAACAGGAGAAACAAAGGGAAACACAGTCTCATCGATAAAAACCTTGTTAGTGTTAGTATCCAAACAGCGATAACCACGGTAAGACGGAGGATAACCTAGAAAAACACAGGGAGACGAACGAAACTGAAGTTTATTGCGATTATATGGACGAAGGACAGGAAAGCACAAACAACCAAATACTCGCAAGTAAGAGTAGGACGGGAGGAGATCGATGCAAACAAAAATGAGGAGACTCATTAGACAAAACACGAGTAGGCATTTTATTAATTAGATACACAACAGTTTCAAAAGCATAGTCCCAAAAATGATACGGGACAAATGCTTGAGCCATTAAAGATAGTCCTGTCTCAACAACATGACGATGCTTGCGTTCCACTCGACCATTCTGCTCGTGAGTATACGCACAGGATCGCCTGTGTTGAATACCCAGCGAAGAAAGAGTGGAACCAAACTTTTTTATATTCTCCCCCTAAATCAGACTGAAAAAAAATAATCTTGCGAGAAAAAGAACGTTCAACAAGTGACCGAAACTTATCAAATATAGCATACAAATCAGACTTTGCACGCATTGGATAATACCACATATAACGAGTGTAATCATCCACAAACAACACAAAATATTTAAAGCCAGTCGCAGAAAGTAATGGCGCGGGGCCCCAAATATCTGAATATATTAATTACAAAGGACGCGTAATAGTAGTTTCAACACGAGATAAAGGAAAACGAGAAGATTTTTCCAATTGACAAGAGGAACATACATTGGGAAGATCACTAGAATTAAATGTACTAACAGACGAAGACGCTAGAATTTGACGCAAGACTCGAGAATGAGGATGCCCCAACCGCATGTGCCAAACATAAAAGCATAGCGCAGCAACAAACGCAGCAGGGGAGACAGAAGACGCAGGCCATGTGTAGAGACCTCCAAACACATGTCCCTTAAAAAAATTAATAATGAATGTTAACCAATCATAACTCGACTATAAGCCTTTCAAACCCCATCCAGTTACCCCGGCATACTATATAAAATAATAGATGGTAAATTGATAAATAATCCATGTGATGTGATTGTCATTTGGAGTTTCCTGGTATATTTTTGAACTGTTTTTCGTTTTTACCATCATTTGTTACTATTGTTAATGGTAATTACAGCTCGGTAATGGCATGATTTTATTCTTTACCATTATTTATTATACTTGTGAAAACAATTTGCGAATTTCGAATTTTATTTACTTGTTGTAATAAATTATTACTGCGCAAGATTTTGAATCGCACTGAAAAAAAAAGAAAAAGAAAAAAAAAAAAAAAACTTGCCATTTTTAAAATATTGAATAAATTATTGAAGAAATTAGGGGACACATTTTATTGCCCTTTCCATAGAGTTTGTCTCTAGCTTGTTATTGGGATAATAATTAATATTGTTGTAATTAAGCACTCTCAACTACAAGAAAATGGATCCACTTTTTCATTAGGACAGTTTTGTAACATCGGCATAGAGTCCGTCGCAGTGCACAACGCCCGTGCGGCATCCCGGGGTCCCTCATACCCGCGAATCAGCTTTTATCTACAGACGAGCCAATCTGATTTTGCATTGCCATGGACTTATCAGGAAAGCGGCAACAGCTCCCAATCAGTTGTGCCCTTCGAATCGCATCGGTCACCTTCGTAGTCAATCCAAGACTAGCACAGACTCTCCAAATTTAATCGGGTCGGCGTGCCTAACTCGACCAGACCTTAACGTCTAAGGCAGAACATCCTTTAACGCTATTGACGCACACCTTCACCCGTATGGCATCGCTAACCAGTTGACCGTTTCCACTTCTTTGGGCCTTCACACGGTCACAGAAAAACAGTCCGTGACACTCTCCCCCACCCAACATCAAGCACGCCCTTGTGCTAGGGGGAGATGGCCTCTGCCCAAGGATCGTCGTACTAAATATTGCATACGCGCCGCAATCGCCAAGACATCTCACGAAGAGTAGTCCGACTAAGCTGGCGGCTACCCGAGTCCCCTTTCCTCGCGAGACCCATCTGCCCCCTGTGGACCAACGGAGTGGAGCCGTCATTAGCACGTGTGCACCCCTCACGCCAACGTGCTCGTATAATCCTCACCCCTTAGGATCCCACCATAACGCGCAGCAATATAAGTACGTCCCACTCTGATACCACTTTGACACGGGCATAGAGTCCGGCGCGGCGCACAGTGCCCATGCGGCATCCCGGGGCCCCTCATACCCCGCGATCAGCCTTTACCCACATACGAGCCAATCTGGTTTCACCCTGCCATGGGCTCATCAGGGAAGCGACAACAGCTCCCAACCAGTTGTGCCCTTCGAATGGTATCGGTCCCCTTCATAGTCAAGTCCAAGACTAGAGACAGGCTCCCCAAACTTAATCGGGTCGGTGTGCCTAACTCGGCTAGACATTAGCGTCTAAGACAGGACAACCCTTAACGCTATTGACGCCCCCTTCACCTGCATGACATTGCTAACCAGTTGGCCATTTCCACATTCTTTAGGTCTTTACACGCCACGAAAAAATAGTCCGTGACATATTTGTCCCCCATACTAATGACTACCAAAACATGTCAACCTCTATGTAGACCCTTCTATGCATATATATATATATATATATATATATGCTCCAACAATTCAATTAAAAAGAAGTTCACTTTTTTGTTATTCAAATCCTAAAACAATTGATTACCTGGTATGTAGACCCTTCTATGCAATGGAGGCACTCGTTGGGTGCGTTTCAAGTTCTTTTTATTATTTTTTTCTTTTGCTGACATTTTATTTTTTGTTTTTATTTTTTTAACCACATTCTCTCATTTTCTCTTTTGTAATTATATCTATAAAAACTTTTCAAAAATCACACCAAAACTCGCATTGAGGATGCCTTAAATAGTATAGGGGGGCATTAATCAATTACACCAATAATCAGACTAGCTTAGGAATTAATTTTAGGAAATCTACAATACTAGCTAGTTGCGGTTCTCAAGGTTGGTCAAATCTGCATTAATCAATTCCTTCCAAAGAATTATTAATCAATTACACCAATAATCAGACTAGATTAGGAATTAATTTTAGGAAATCTACAAGATACTAGCTAGTTGCGGTTCTCAAGGTTGGTCAAATCAGCATTAATCAATTCCTTCCAAAGAAATGGTTGAGGTAATCAAGGGAACCTATGCTTCTAGTCATCATTGTAGACGGGCCAGGTTCCCAATCTTGGTTTTGGATTTGTTAAAAAATAAGAGAAAATAGATATTTTATTTATTTTCATTCTTCAAATAATTACTTCAGTATTACCTATAGGTGAGAATTAGAATAAACACACACAAAAAAAAATGTTATTGTTAAATTTGTATTTAAGTCTAAATTTTGTTACTAGCATTAATTTAAAATTATAATTATAATATTTATAAATATTGTATGTTATTTTTTTAATTTAATCTGATTCTCACATATAAGTAATAATTTGTCAGAAAATGAGAATAATTTAAAATATTTATTTTGTCCTTTATTTTTTGAGAATAAAAGCTTAATTCATTAAATCATCAACAAGACTCTGAAAAAGAGAATGAAGGGTATCAAATCACTTCCCGCAATCTGACTCAGAAACGACCTTCTGGACAATAATGTGGGCGGCGCAATTCGCAGATCGCTTAACGAATCAAAATTTAGCATCAATAATCAACGATGACAAAAATGAAATTTTTAAAATAATTGAAAGGAAAATATAAATACATTAATACTTTAGTATGAAAACAACACTGTAAACATATATAATTAAGATAGAAGAAAAAAGTCCGCATGGACAGCTCAACTGGTCATAGAGGTGAAAGTTGGAAAGAATGGTCAGGGATCAAGTCTCACCAGCGGTAGTGGAGCAACCTCTCAAAGTGAGGGGGGGGCCTTGCAGTAAGCAAAGGTTTAGCCTCTATGATTCATGTTCAGTTGAGTTACAATGAAAAAAAAAAAAAAAAAAAAAAAAAAAGAAGAAGAATATGATTCATGTTCAGTTGAGTTACAATGAAAAAAAAAAAAAAAAAAAAAAAAGAAGAAGAAGAAGAAAGGTTATGCGTATTTGATTTGATTAAAAGTGACGTAGTACGTGTGTCTGCCCCAAAAAACCAGCATAAACCAGCATAGAGTGATTAGGAAAGAAAATGTGGGAAGGGGACGAAAAACAACCAAAACCAAAAAAAAAAAAAAAAAAAAAAAAAAAAAAAAAAAAAGTATGTCCGGCGCGCCTGACACGCAGCCAGGCGCGTACACTACACGCGCCCGGCTGTGGCCATGCTGTGCGCCAAACGCGCACAGCATGTGATCTCTCTTTTTTATTTTTTTTTCCCATGCTCCCCATACTTGCAGGTCTATTCTTCCCTCCATTCTTTCTTCTCTACAGTAGTTATTCACCCCATCCAAAAGAAAGCATTTGACATTATCTCTACATTCTTCCCTTAGTGTGGAT